AACTCGACACATTATTGCGCGAATTCGTGATGAAGAAACACTGATTATTTGCGTCTGATTAAGCATAACAGTCATAAGCATGAAGCATTAAAGCGTGATAGTCATCATAATCACAGGACAAACAGTTATAATCGACAGCCACGGAGGTTTTCGAGGACAACACAAGAGCCGTACCTGTGAAGACAGTTAATTGTGTTAATAATTATCCGTACTAGGGACTCCCTATAATTGAAAAGCTAGAGAAAGGGAGATTAGCAACGTCGGCGCTCAACTACACTACGATATTGCAACCCTGGGAGTTGGAATATCTGTTTGGCTTTCTGTCCACAACATCCTTAAATAATTCTTTTCAGAATATTCCTCTTGTCACCTACACAAACATGGAAACTCGTTCTAACGCTCAAGCTCAGGCAAAGGTTCGTGGATCTCAGCATCGTTCTCTAGTCACTAGTAATTTTCTATTAGTAACCCAGTAACTTCAGTATCAACGAGAAAAGGGACAGCTCTCAGGCACAGCGACTTCAATGATCATGCGTAAAGTAAAGTAAAGGCGACTGACCCAAACGTAACCCGACCGATGTCCGCCTAACCCGGCGCGGCAGCCGCATGCATGCGCTCTGCGCGAATATATACACACGGGAACACACTCCCGCTCGGGGAGAGAATAGCGGGCAAGCAGTAGTAGAATGGGCTTGCTCGAAGCAGGCGAAGCAAAGCCAGTTTCTGGGACAATCAAGCCGAGCCGTATAACTTCCACCTGTAACAAGCTGTACATACGTGCTGTCTACTGGGTGGCGCGCAGTGGCTCAATCACTGCCGATGTGGAGGAGCAAAGGGGTAATGTACAAGATGCTGCTTGCCTCGGATAATACAACTATAATAGCTGAACTATCCCGGAAGAATGCGTTCACGAGCCGAAACTATTAATTTCGGACTACGAATACCTCACGTGATTGGTAACCACGTCACGTGGTCCACGTGAGGTATTCGTTTATTCGTAGTAACCACTGATTACTTCGTTTTATTTCGCAAGAAGCGGGAGTTTTTTTTGTATATTATATACCTAGCGTGGATTCGAACCTAGGCGACCCACATGATAAACTTGAACCCTAACCACTACACCACAGCAGTCACAAATTTCTTGACGCCGCGCTTTGCGCGGCGCCGTTTTCTACTGTTTACATGCACTTGCACTACTTTTTATTAGGTGACATCGGTGAAATCCGGTGACACTCGGTGAAGTGTCCGTTGAAGACACGATGAAATCGCTCCCAAAATAACACGTTTGAGCTCCTAGGTTCCTTTTCATGTATACCACGAAGATCGACGAAATGGAAAAACCAAATACTTTATACTTTTATAGAGATCGGCTCTTGACGTTGGGAGTGACGAAACTTGCACACTTGTTGGGGTAAATAAATTGAATATCGTGGAAGGGTTATTTTCAAGTGAGGAGAATTACATTGTGAAACACGGAAACTCGATATTGGAATCCTATTGCATCACATGCAGTTGCATTCTAGTCTGACCATATAGTATCATGCTTAGGTCGTTTTTTTGCTATTTGTATTATTACCTCACGATCTTGCCATGGGTTGTTGCTCGAGCAGCGATGCGCAGGACGGGACTAGGATGAGTAGAAGATATTCTGATTGGTCCTTGCCGAGCGTGGTTCATCAAGAAGACTCTCGGGCGTACCTAAAAGGAGGAGGAGTGGGAGGAGCATATTACGATGGTAGCAGTGTCGGAAGAATATACGCTCGCTTTCCCCTCAGCTAAGCTCTGGAGTTTCCTCACTGAATATAGGAGCTCATTTGCGAGTCTGGGTAGAAACGTACAGGAGTCAACGAGAATTTTCGAAAATTTTCTAACAATTTTCATATTTTCACCGACATTTGTGGTTTACTATGTGCATATTTTCCCACACTGTTGATGGTAGTAGCAGAGTTTTTCTGTCGTTGTTCATGCTACTCTGATTGGCCATACCTGTCTTCGAAACGTTCCCTCTGCTGTGATAAAACGGTGTAAATTATGATCCCATTATTTTCAGGTTCACCGGGTGGTGTAAATGGAGGTGGTGGAACATCTGTGCGAAGCCTCGTGAGCCAGTCGAATGCACGTAAATGGAGTGAGGAACTCTTTGAGGAGAAGATGGCCAACAGACGGCAAGAGAGAGAACAGTAATAACACTCTATCTAAGTTAGCATTCTATTAATACATTTATTTGATTAATAACATATTATTAAAGTTTCTTGATTCAGCCATAGTGGGACCAAATAACTGTATCGCAACCTGAGTGGAAATTATACGGTTTATTATTGATTGGGAGTAATCGATAGCTCGGTCCGATTTCGATGCTTATGTTCTTGCTTTTGAATTTCGCAGAGTTGCCGGAGTGCTCGTTGCCAAATCTTGGTCGTTCTTTCAGTTCAATTAGATCCAACCGTGGCGATATGACTAACCGGTCGAATAGATCGTATCGTGGTGATGCCACTAATCGCTCACACGTTGGGGACTTGACGGGAAGGTCTTATCGTGGCGGGGAAGCTACTACTCGATCGTGTAATCGATATTATGCTGGTGGAGACTGTACTAGCAGATCAACGATTTACAATTATACGAGAGGGGATACGACTTCACGATCTACACGGTGAGTGGGGCGATTCCAGAATCGCAGCGATTACGGTATCGATTATTTAAATCTCGATATTGGGTTGGTTCCATATGGGTAATTTTTGGACAACTATTGTACGGAGGAATTGGAGGCACATTGTCGAGGACTCTCCAGAGAAGTTTACTGTTATAATATACTAGAATTACCGTAGATGATGCACTTGAGGTGCTATGCGCTCCGACTCTCATAGCGTGAAATAACAGTATTCATAATATATTATATTTATTTTTCTTTAGAGTATATATTATTAGTTTAACAATATTGTATATATATCTTATTATATTTCCTTATATATTGTTATTGATAATATATGTTTACTTGTTATTATGATATTAATGAAGGTGTATAAGGGGGGAGGGGAAATGTTTTTTGTTGTTGCTCAGATCGACAAGTCGAATCGTGCGAGGGGAAGAATCAATGAGTAGTGATTTTGGAGGTATGCCCCCGCAGCACCCTATACGAGGGAATTTGACTTATCCTAACATCCCTCGAGATGCTTCTGGGGAGGGGTCCTCTCCTGGAGAATGGCAGGGCCATTCACCGATGCCATCATCATTGCCTCCGACAGTGCCACTGGCTTCTAGGAGTCCGATATCGAGGAGACCTGCGAGGGTAATAGCGGGGGGACGTCATGTGATGTCGGTATGGAGTGTGCGAGGCCTGTGTGAGCAAGCATGTGTGGATGTTCTATCATACGTTCGTCGGGATCACGCTTATTCCTAGCTTAGAAAGAGCATCGGGGATTCGGATGGAATCAGCAGTGTCTGAATATCTGTTGATGAAGAGTTGGAGTTAACCACGCATGATGCTCAGTCCTTCGTGAACTCGAAATGATTCATCTCTTCTCAGTCACCAGCTTCATTTCGAAGATCACAAACGGCATCTAATTTTATGCCCAGTCCTCGCTCTCGAGTCCCTTTGCCATCACCGCGATCGGGTATGCCCCTTAAAAAAGTACCGGCGCGGACTGCGATGTAGCTATCGTCCGGAGATACACTCGGACTATCTATTCATCCCTTGCTGTGGCTCTCTACCTCATGATGCCTGTGAGCCTTTGTGAGGATGCACTCGAAAGATATCCTAATTGTTTGCGTTATTTGCAACTTCACACTCTGTAATTTATCTATCATCCGAATCCGTATCGGTTCCTATGGTTCAATTATCACTGCAATCATTATCGCCTA